ACTATTTAGTAAAGGGCTAAAGTCATGGTATTCACAATTGGCAGGGTAGATTTTATTGTTTTGGATGGTGCTTTGATGAGGCTGCTGTGTGGTCTCAGCAGAAACAACATCCTTGGAGTGGAGCGGACATTTCTCTCTCTCTCTCTCTCTCTCTCTCTCTCTCTCTCTCTTTAAAGGAGCGGACATCTCTGAGATATCATTAGCATGAGTAAACCAGTGCTGGGCTCTGCTCTGCAACTGTTGAAGCCTACCGGTTCCTGACTACTAAGCCTCAATGATGTGTGAAAAGAGCAACCGATTAGCAGGTCCTCAGTGGTGTTAGTGTCTGGTATACACTGCTCTGGGGGCACCAGCCTGGCTCATTTTGAATGCAAATGGCTCCCTTCACCTCCGCTTTGTGAAAGCAGGCGGGTGGGCAGATTTCAGGAAGTGTGGCCTTTTTGCATCCCTGTTAGTCAAGTTTATTCTGTGGAGGGATATTTATTTATCAGTCACTTTTTTGCACTCAAATGCCTCTAAGTGACTTCCACAGGAAAAACAAAGGAACAAAGACATTAAAAGCATATGAAAACAGCAAGAAACAACGTCCACACTAAAATACTCACCAGACAATGTACTGTATTTAAAAGGAGCTAGTCCTACCCATCCCACTTGAAGGACACAAGTCCATCTCCACTGGAAGAAGGGAAGAGAGTTTGGACACAATACATACTGATATAAAAAGCTTGGAAATACTGTCTGGTTGTTTCAGGTGCAAATTAAATATTATTCATCATTTCTAATATCAACATGCATAATGTGTAAAGTGCATTATAACCTGTCTCTTCAAAATAATCTGTGAGGGAATAAATTATTGCTCAGCTTTTATAAAATGAGAGATTGAGGCTGAAAGACTGTTTGTCTCCTTAGACTAATCAGTCCATGGCTGAACAAAATGTTAAAAGCCAAGCTTCCCTTTTTGACTTTATTCAGGGATATCGTGTGGAGTCTCTAATTAGCAGGGGTGAGGTGTTTATCTACTGAGGAGAAATAAATTCAGCCCCAGTAAAGAGGTGCTAAATAATGGTGCCAATAGCTGTTCTGATCAGAGAATGACTAATGCCCTTGTCTGAACTTAAATGGATGACCCTCTGCAGGAACCAGGGTGGGGGGATGCCCCAAAGGCTAAAATGTCCCAGTCGCCATCCCATATTGTTTGAAAACTATCCAAGAAAGTAAGAGTTTTTTTTAAAAAAAATTGGGCAACAAAAACTGCTTTAAAAATTATTGACATCTTCAGTTCTGTGCATATAGTACAGTTCTGTATCTTAGGATATAAAGTGAAGATTTGTTATAAAGACATTATTTAAAATACTGGGTGAAAGCATAATGTCACTGAGTACTAATAAAAATGAGAATGATTGAGATGAGAATCTCATACTTCCAGGGTGCTGAGAAACTTTGGGTGATTTATATCACACCTTACCTATGCCCTTATTATTTGCCACTGCACCTTGGTGTAAAAGACTCTTTGTGTGTGCTTCCACTTTATTTACACAATGAATTTCTTACTCCTCTTTTCTCAGCTGCAGTGAAATCTGGGCGTTCCAAAGTCCACCGGGATTCATGGTTCTCCACATGAGTAAAATCCATGATTCTGCATTTTCCTCAAGCCACTTGTGTTTCTATGTAATGTGTGAACCTTCATTGAACAACTTTCCTATCTACAAGACGCCAGTTACTGGTGAATATCAAGCTATCAGCTGGGAACAACTAGGCCAAGGAAATCATTGTTGAAGAATTGTGTCTTAAATCCCCTGTGACTTAGGAGAATGTTTGACATGGTGTTGAAGATCCATGATGAGGATCTATCATGTATTTGAAAGAAAAATAAATAGCAGGGAACGTGAGGCGTGCAGTTCAAATTATGACAGTGAGTGGTACAGGGTGAGGGGTAAACCTGCTTTCCCAATTAAAATTTGCTATTTGTTCCGTGTGGGGGGATGATGACGATGACGACAATGACTTCAAATTATCCATATGAAGTTCTCCCTTCCCCAGTAAATAGCAGCAGTGGAAGTGATTTTAAGTGCGGAACAACCTCCTGCCCCAGTGTAGTTTAGTATTTAGAGCGTTATTCTAGAAGTAGGGAAACCTGAGTCCACTTCCCCAGTCAGTTGCAAATCACAAGTACAACCTTAGCCAGCCATGACCTGTCTCTGTCTTCCTCACAAGGTTGTTGTGTGAATAAGATGTGGGTACGGAAAATAAAAAAAATCATAGAATGAACTTCTTACAAAGGAAAAGAAAATATCCTTTTTATAACAACATTTATGTGGGCCAAGCAATTGGTTGTAAAAATAAGAAGCAATCTGTATCCTTACTATGGAGTGTGAAATTGCAGAAACAAATCCTTTCAAAGTTACTAGTTTGTGCACTTTGTTGCAAAAAAGAAAAAAAAAGAGAGAGGCTCTGTTGGAGAAATGTTTTATGCAACTAGTTTTTAATATTTAAATATATTTTACAGTGACAGTTTTATTACATAACCAACCAGGGGTTGGGAAAGGGGGGTGTTGTTTGATTATGTTGAGATGGTACTCTATTATCTTATGATACAAGCTGTATCTTTTTTATAACAGAAAATGGAAACAACGGCGTCCTTGACCTTCAGAAGAAATTGACTTGCCTAGCTTAACTATTCAAACAAACAACTGTATACTGTCTGCAATGCCGATGATGATCTTGATTTACTGTAAATGGGGTGACTTTAATGAACTAAATTACGTTATTGAAATGCATTTAGTGAATGATTCCACCATTCTCTCCAAAGCATTCTTTCTATGCTAAAGTGTGCCGTAAATGATATGATATGGAACATATGTGCTGTATTCATAATTTAACTGTTCTAGGGTATGCCTACTTAGGATGCTGTGAAGAACGAGTCTTTATTTACCTGCTGAAATGAAAGTGATTTTTCAGGAAATTTCTGTGACTCCCTGACCTTGACAGAATTACGGTTTTCACATGGATGAGCCGTTGGAATGATTTACAAAAAAACAAAACCTGAATGGCATAAACAGAGAGTATCCCTTAGCATCAGTCACATACTCTGTAACTTGACTCCCTCCTTGCTGTCTCCATTGAACTAACATTTTGTAACACTGCTACAGAAATAATTTGCTTTTAACGATGGTCATCTTTGTCTGTCGTCCACGGTTGGGAGGGGGGAATCTGTGCCCCTCCAAATATTGTTGGTCTGCAGCTCCCAATATCATTGACCATTCTGGGAGAGTGTGAGGTTGTTGTGAGAACATCTGGATGACAACATCTGGAGGGACACATGTTTCCCACTCCTGCTTTAAGAACTGGGATGCTGAGTCATATACAAAGCAAGTAAATACGCATATTTACTCAGAGGGCAGTACCAGCCACTGAGCTTAATGACTTGAATGTTTTTAAAATATTAGACTTAATATTTTGGAATTCAGCCTTTATGACTCCCAAATCCTTTCTTTACCATTGTGGATCCATTTGAATAACATGGAGAGGCATGGGCAACTTCTTATTTTTTTCTACTGGAAATCAATCCCATTTTCTATTGGGCAATTAACTGAACCAATGTAGGTGATATAGCTTTAAAGATTACTGTCTTAAAAGTTATTGCAGCTACCTTGGTTCAATTAACTGCCCAATAAGGAGGTGTGAGGGAAAACCTTTCCATAGATGGACTGGATGTGGTCCAAATTGGAAGTCATATGGTTCTGGCAACTTTCAGAGATACTTCCTTATTCTTTTCTGCAGTGGTTCTTGTGGAATTCTCTCCCCAGGGAGGCTTGCTGGGCGCCTTCATTGTACATCTTTAGGCACCAGGCAAAAACTTCCCTCTTCAACCAGGCCTTTGGCTGATTAACATTCAATGTCCTTTTCCATGTGTTTGTGGAAGGGGGTGTTATGGGTTTGCTATGTTCTTGTTCTTGTTTTTATTATGTACTTGGTGTTTTTATTTTCTGTTTCTATGCTGTGAACTGCCCTGAGATCTATGGATCTACGCATTTAATAAATAATAGTAATAATAAATAAAATTATTTTCCTGGTGTGGATTAACATGCTCCTTGCAATCTGACATTATAGATGTCTAAGGAAGATAGCTGTAATGGCCAATTAGACAATGGTAAACCTACATGGAGCCTCCAGGTGTAGAACAAGTATACCTTTGAATACTAGAAGTTGGATTACTTCTTTGTGCCTTGCTTATGACCCCTTCTGGAGGCATTTGACTTTCTGATGCTGGAAACAGAATATTAGCTAAATGGAGATTGATCTGATCCCAGAAGAAATTTATTATGTTCTTAAGTGTCAGTATTACACAAAGGAAAGCCCTGTTGCCCGTCAACTGACAGTAGCAGAAGTCCATGTTTCCATAGCAGTTGCTACCATTCAATATGTTGACTAAGATTTTGTAAAAGCAAGAATCTCTTCTTTTTTTAAAGAAGCAGCTTTTGGATAGTTGCTGTGCAGCTTATCGCCAGCCAGATCCTGCCCCAGAAATGTCAGTCCCTGCTTGGAGCAGACAGAATAAGCATAATTAGAGATACGCTGGCAGGATATTTTAACACTGATGGTGACAATGTTTAAATTTTTAATCAGGCATGTAACATAAAAAGCACATCACGTGAAACGGGCAAAGAAAATGGGCAAATACCGATGGGCTGTTTGACACTTTATTTCGCTGATGGAAACGAACGTCGATAAACATTATTTATCATAAATGACAGAAGAGGAGGTGAGTTACTAATAAAACCTACATAGTGAAAATGGTGATTCTCAGAAACAGTGCTTCTGTTAAGGCAGTTTTGTGCAAATCAGCAAAGGGGGAAGCTTTTTCATGCTACTATAATATGTATGTAGAAGATGTATTCAAGTGAGAGAGAAACATGTACACGTACTCTCTGTACACCTGCTGAAATCAATGGATTTAAGTTAGGCATGTCTGAGAATGACTTTGTTGGATTCAGCCCTCAGCTCGGATAGCTCAGTTGGTTAGAGCGTGGTGTTGATAACACCAAGGTTGCAGGTTCAATCCCTGTGTCGGACAGCTGCATATGCTTGCATCAGGCAAAAGCAAACTCAGCTCTCCAGATGTTTTTGGACTACAACTCCCATCATCCCTAACTAACAGGACCAGTGGTCAGGGATGATGGGAACTGTAGTCTCAAAACATCTGGAGGGCCGAGTTTGCCTATGCCTGGACTAGATGATTCTCAGGGTCACTTCCAACTTTATGATTCTGCTCTTCTAGAAGTCTACTCAGAAGTAAGCTACACTGAGTTCAATGAGACTTACTCCCAGGTAAGCAAGTAAAGGATTGCAATTTATTCTTCCCCACCCCTTTTAATGCTCCAGCCAAATTCTGTACCCAAAAGCTTTAATCACTTCCTGAGATTAGGCAAAATTGCCTAATCTAGATGTAATGGTGAATGTGCCTTTGCTTCTTTAATAAACAGAGCTTGGAATAATAAATATATCCAAGTTGGCTTACTGAACAAGAAGATGCTACTTAAAGTAAGGGCAGCAGCATGATTACAAGAGAAGAAAGAATCAAGTAAAGGCAGAGCATATTTGGGGAAAACTACAACTCCCACCAGCCACAGCCAGAATAGCAAATGGCCAGGGATGGTGGGAGTTGTAGTCCAAAACATATGGAGGGCATCAGGTTGGGAAAAGCTGTCCTAAGGTTGCAATCCAGTGCCCATTTCCCTGAAAGTATATCTCACTGAAGTCAGTAGGACTTCAGAATCAACAGTGCAAATCAGTGATGGGGAGCCTATAACCCTGTAGTTGTTGCTAGAGGACAGTTCCTGTAATCCTGGACAATTATCTATGTTGGCCAGCATTGGTGGTAGCTTGAGTCTAACAGCATCTAGAGGCCCTGCTGTAATCCTTTAGTAGACATTGACATCTCACCAAATCCAGGAGCATCAGTGGATTTCGTGAACACAGTTGTAGGCCAAATTAAGAACTAACAAATCAAAGTTTAAACTAGACAAGGCAGATATGATGATAGTAGACTCACCTCAAACAGATGGGACTGTAATTTTGCCTGGTCACGATGTATTAGAAGATTCACAGTTTTGCAGAAATCTGCACTCTTTGGTGGTGGTTGAATTTCAAAGTACCTTTTACCAGATTACCGGTATTTGACTGTGGTCACTCCCCTTGAAAAGAATGATTTGGCTTCAGTCACCCATGTTTATGTGTACTGTTGCAATGGCACTACATGACGCAACCATTGAAGACGGTTCGGAAGCTGCAGCTTGTGACTGACAGGATTAAGTTCAGAGAGCATATTTTTCCTTTTCTGCTTTATTGGATTTGGTGAAATGCAGCAGACTGTAACATTGGTAGAGAATTACCACCTGAATTTCCCTACTCCCATACAAACCTGCCCGATCTTGAGATAGGCCTGTGAAGCCTTGCTCTCTAGTCTGTTCATATGTAAGATCTTGCAGATGGAAGCGAGAGACGGGGCTTTTTCGGTGGTTGCACCACAATCGTGTCACTTCTTTCCAGTGAAGATTCACCAGGCTCCATTCATTAGACATTAAGTGTGATGAAAACATGTGAGGGGGTGCAGTGATGAGGTAGCCCTCATGCATAGTTGTTCACATTGAACTTAACTCAAGGAGGGTAAAGGTGTGCAACAGATAGTCTCCTGTACTGGTGGAGGCTCTCCCCCTGGTTCAGAACCCTGGAAAATCAGGGTTCTAAAACATATGGAGAGTCTCCATGAGGGTAGGAGTGTGATGAGTTGAGTGTGATGGAAAAAAATGATTGGTAGGGTGAAGCTAGTGTGCTTATCCCTGTTATCCCTCTCATGTGTTTTCATAACACTTAATAATCTCTGAACAGGACTTCTCTCTTCCCATCTTTTGATGGATGGTAACACTTTTAAAAATTTAGGCTAGCTTTTAATCAGTAGCCTGTTTTATGATGCTTGTGATGAAGTTTTAGTACCGCTGCCTCTTGATAGTTCACTACTGATGTCTTTCTATTGTTGCTCTCTTTAAATGATGCATTTTTAAATTGTTGTTTATTATGTGGTAATGTCTTTTTTTAAATTGTAAGCTGTTTGGTTATTATTTCAATGCACAAAACTGACTCCAGAGAGACACAGGGATGGTGAACATCTTTTGAAGTCTTGGAGTTCCACATTCCACAGCCCTGCATCTTTATATGAGGAAAAGGTTTTGAATCTTATGACTGTGTGATGTTAGAACCGAAGATTTCTGGAGGGCCAGTTTTAGATGCTCTAACTTGTTTTTGATGGCATTGAGAGGGATTGCTCTGGTTTCTTCAAAGAAACCACTTAGCATCACCATCAACTATTGTGATCAGGAGATTCAGGATTACATTGCTCTTCTTCCCTAAGGGAAAGATCAAAATTTTGCTTCTCTTACACTTATGAACCTCTGAGTTATCATCTTACCTTCCTTACCATTAAATTGTGGTAGCTACATAATTTTCCTCCAAATTGTCTAAGGTTCCCAAGAAGAATACCAGCTCTCCCCTACACTGGGATAAGATTTTTAATTTTAATTGTGACCTCAACAGACTGCTTTGGAAGCTCATAATTAAAACACAAATTAACAAAGCAACCTGATGCATATATGCTCAAAAGTAGGTGCCATTCTGTTCAATAAGAACTTACTTCCAAGTACAGTAAAGGTAAAGCGACCCCTGACCATTAGGTCCAGTCGTGGCCGACTCTGGGATTGCGGCACTCATCTCGCTTTATTGGCCGAGGGAGCCGACGTACAGCTTCCGGGTCATGTGGCCAGCATGACTAAGCTGCTTCTGGCAAACCAGAGCAGCGCACAGAAACGCCGTTTACCTTCCCGCTGGAGCGATACCTATTTATCTACTTGCAGTTTGACGTGCTTTCGAACTGCTAGGTTGGCAGGAGCTGGGACCGAGCAACGGGAGCTCACCCCGTCGCGGGGATTCGAACCGAACCACCGACCTTCTGATAGGCAAATCCTAGGCTCTGTGGTTTAACCCACAGCGCCACCTGCGTCCCTTCCAAGTACAGTAATTATATATAAATTTCCATGCTATGGCTGCAATCCTATACAATTACCTGTGAATAAGACCCATTGAGTTCAATGGGGTTTATTATTTCTGAGTAGACATATTTAGGCTTCTCTGTAAATAACAGAATAGAATTGGAATCTATGACACTAAGATTACCAAGGCAAATGAATAATAAATTTATGCATCTAGAGAAAAATCCTGAACTAAACAGCAAACTTGATGCTGACAAAGTCTCAAAAAGATTAACACATAACGTATGAAATGAAGGATAAAAACCCAAACAACAAAATGGCAAAAAAATCTCCACCTTATTGTACACTGTGTGCACTTGTGTCCAAATCAATGTTCCCGAGCAGATTTGATATCCAATTCAGTGGCTCACTGAAAATTCATGTTCAGTTTAGAGGCAGTCTCATAGGGCTTGACCATGCCAAGTGTGTTTGCATATATGCCACTTATTGAACTGAGGTCCATTTCCATGTGCAATCTTCAGGTCAGGCCTAGCCAGCTCACTGTGGAATCAGGCGGATACGGTGAGGGATTAGTGAAATCGTTAAATGAAGTTTTCCAATATATACTCAGAAACATTATTAATTTACTAGGACGAAGGCTGCGAGAATCTAATTTACAGTAGAGGCAGACAGCCCTTATTACAGCCCTTAGGGAGAAAAAATAAAGTTTCAATCCCTCATAGCAGCAGAGGAATTCTAAAAATGTACCCATTTTCTTTTCATTTTCATTTTCGTTTTGTTTTGCTTTGTTCTAAAGATCTGGAAGATCAATTGGCCAAGATGGTTCATTTGGGTTTTGAGAGTTTAACACTCTGCATCCATCGAACATTTACATATTCAGCTGAAGAAAAAAACCCATGTTGGGGGAAATTAAAACAACAAACTTGATTGCATATCATGATTTCATATTTTGCAGATGTTAATATTTAATCATATGCAGAGCCATTTAGCTTAAGTACATTAATGTAACTCATTTAAAAGAGACCCGTAATGGTCGCCTATTAACTCCCAGTCTGGATGTTATCCATGTTGCCCTGCTGGTGAGGCCAGAGGGAGTGTATCCTATTGGCACCCACTGAGATTGCTCTGATCTGTTGAAAATCCTGTTAAAATCTAATTACTCAAGAGAACCATCCAGGGAATAGCTAATGAGCTGCAGGAAACCCACCAAAAGAAATTCTCCTTTAATACAGAATGAAACGTCTTCTGTCTTTCAATTACAGCCATCCCACATGAACATAATTATGCTCTTATGGAATGTGACTCTTATTTGTTGTTTTTAATTACTGGTACATGCCACTGGTCACATGCAAAAAAAATGATTTAATTTTCCCGTCCTGGGTAAATGTTGGTGAAAAGCTTAATACTCAAGCGCGTTTGATAACGGTTTATAGTTATCTCTACCTTGTTGGATGACCAGATGTTAAGCACATCAAGGGGCATGGAAGAGAGAAGGAAGTGGAGGAAAAAGTCAGGCCCACAGCGCATGGTTTTAAGGGTGCTAGCCTTGATAATGACAGCCTTGGAAAAGGGTTTGTGGGAATATGATTTCTGTAGTTTTGCTGGATCATATATCAGCTTAAGTTTTCTGTGTGCAGTTATTAAAATATGACTTCACAAGAAAAGAAATGATGAATGTGAATTGTATATACTTGTGAAGAAGAGCAAGGAGATGTTCAACGTAATCCCCCCTAAAATCCAGTGTTTTTCTTCTTTTTTCTCCTGAAGGCAATTTTACATGACGAAAAGGCATGTTGCTGTTGTTGCTAATTACCTGCTCTCTACCCTTAGATCCAAGGGCAGATAAGCACAGTTAAAACACAGTATTAAAAACAGTTTAAAACAACTTACAATAATGGAGTTAAGGTGGGTCTGCCTTATGTATCGAGAGTCAGGGTAAAGAGTTGCATCTTCATGTTGAGCTTGTGGGTTTGAAGAATCTGTATGGATCTTGGTATCTAACAAAGTACAGAGCAGAAGTCCTTCTTGTGGG